TTACTCTATTTAAATTAACTGCATCAAAATAAAAAAAACAGATCAGCTGTAGTTAATTTTTCAATAATCGTTTGTATGCCGGATTCCCATATGAAAATGAAGGTGATGCTCGTCGTCACATAATTTATAGGAGTAGAAATTTCAGATTTTGGTCTAACTTAGGGAGTTCAGAAAGGAAAGCGATTATTATTAACCCATAAAGAATTGCTTAGCGTCGAGCATAATGATTTAGCTAAATAAAAGTAGCCAACGCCGTCATTGTGTTGGAGTATTGGGGTCAAATCCTGACTCGTCCCCAGTTGTCTCTCAGTCTCCTATCAATATTAACGAGAGAAGCGCGGTGAAGGGAAGTGCGGGGGATGATGGGAAGGAGGAAAGAGACGTCCTTTCCCCTTTCACCTTCCCATCGTCCCCTTCGCACTATTGCCGTAATAGTCTCCCGCAACCGTTCCTTGACGGCTTACAAAATAATAAGAGACGACTTGGGACGAGTTAGTGGTCAAATCAAGCTGGAGCTACATCCAATTGAGAGGCTTAGCTCCAATTTTCCAAGGGCACGGGCACGGTTTTTTTGATACGACAATTCCCTCCCCGGAAATCTATCATTCTGTATCTACAGAGATATTCAGCTCTACTTTTCAAATTAAATGTAACAGCTTTCTTCTTTGGAGATAAGTACTGTTGCTATGTAAATCTTGCTCTTAATCTCCCAGAATCATCCTGGATCAGTCGAATTAAAACAATAGGTAGAGGCTGCTGACTGCTCTTATAATTCAATTGCTAGAACGCCAGTTAGTTTGAACACTCACTGCAACTAAGGTGCTGTTTATTTATGTCGAATCCATCAAAAAAGTTTTTTAGATAATAATTTGTCAAAAGGTGTCCCCTGATTGCTCTTTATCTAAATAAAAATAATCTTCCCGTCAGCCGCCCGCATGACTAGTCCTTTTAGAACCCGGCCCCCTTGCCCCGCCTCATGTATGCCGCCATACTTATCATAAAGAAAGAATACAATGATTTTTTTTCTCTTTAGACATCCTACAATAACGTTTTCAATCGAAAACCAATATATGCGTGCGCAAGAACACCAAATGCTTTGGTCAAAAGAAGTTCTTGATGGAATATTAATTGTACTTTCGGCGGTATGTAATCTTGAAAGATTCCGGGGTCGTCAGGCCCCAGTTGTTACAAAAGAGGGATAATGTTATAATGATGACGTAGATGGTTTTTCTATACTTATTAGGGATTTGTAACTAAAAAAATCTGACGTTTAAAATTTAAGGCATTGAAGGAAATCCTTTCTCTTGGTCTGGCATCATTTCACAATGAAATCAAATGTTTTTTTGTGACATTCGGATTTCCCCGCTGTGAGGAGTGGAGGGCCTGGTATTACTTTTATAAACTAAGTACTTCCAAAACATGTACTGCATTACGTGTTAATGTAGGTTTTTAACGACCTTCAGAAGAAATAACAGCGATAGCACGAGAGCTGTAATCAAGGTAATAACACACACCTTACTGTATTTCCCCCTTACCCTTCGAATCAGCGTCATTTTTTGGGGAGCAGTTAACCTTCTCTTCATATTCATTCCACTCGGGTGTGGTGATGTTAATAACCACACTTTTACTTATTCGAGAAAATATGCTACCTTTTGGCCCAAACCGTGCAGCTACAACTGTACGAGAAGAGAAAATCAATATTTGGAAAGATCTCCCCCACTTCAACTTTTAATATTTCATAATTTGATGTGAACTGTTTAAAAAACGACCAGGCAGTGTATTATCAGGTTTAAAACTCGAGGCGAAGCCAAGAATTTTTCAACCTGATAATACACGACTGCGAGTGTTTCGAACGGCTTCAAAAACTGATACAGATCAATTCATTCTTGCACTAATATTTAGATTTAGGGTTAGTTTGGCTTAAAAAATTGGACGTAAAGTTTAGTCGTGTCTTAATCAGATATAGAGACACTCATTAAACATTCATTTCTATTGCTTTTTCTTTATGAATGATTAATGAGTTTTCTAAAAATATTTAATAAGGGACTGGAAGTACCTATTAAAGCCAAGATAGGGCAAGAACTTACTCAGGTAGCAGTTGGTAAACAGTCCAACCCACTAAAAGTAGTGAAGCCTGCAGCGGTGGGGGGTAAAAACAAGCAAACTAAGAAGAAGGGAGGTGGCAAAAAGAAGAAGTAACTTCATCATTTGAAGCTGTGGCAATGCAACAAGTATGGAGCAAGATACATATTAGCTTGATTTGTGTATTTATCATAATTTATATATCTATCTATTCCTTAGCAGCAGATGTAGAATAGTATTGAACAACTTTTGTGACCAATTTTAACTTTTTGCATGTTCCTCATAATACTACCTCATGAGGTAATGAGAGTGAGAGGAATTCTTTACTACGTTTTAACACTTGGAGAACATATTTGATCACCCTGGCTTTATTTTTAAACTTGTTCTTATGGTCCATTCTCTTCCTCAATAGTCTTTGTTACTCTACTAAAAGTACAGGCCCCAGTTGTTCAAAAGGTGGATAACGCTATCCACTGGATAAATCACTATCCACTAGATAGCGCAACTGGTTTCCCTAACACTTATTCGTGGGATAGTGATTTATCCGGTGGATAGCGCTATCCAACTTTTGAACAATTGAGGCCTGATGTATAACTTTTCAGGTTTAATCCTTGTGGCCTAATGGGTGGTCATGGAAACTTTCTGGAAAAGTGCATTCCCAGATTAACTAAAGACCTTGATACAAACGTATTTCTTAACCCTTTAAGTCCCAATATCCACATACAAATTCTCCAAACTGATCTCCATACATTTCCTTGAAGAATTAGTTGAGAGAATTTGGTAAAAGATCAAATATTTTTCTCTTTGTGATCATTTTGTTAATTCTCATAGACTTTGCTCGTGATAGTCTATGGATATCGTTAGGAGAAAATTGATTTTGAGCACTATTGACCATCATTATTGAGTTCAAACCAAAGCAGTGTTCACCTTCCAAATTACCCGTATATTCAGTAATAAAATGGACTTCGGAACTAAATGATAAGCTTCTCCTTTTTCGATTGTTATTATCATTATTATCTTCATCATCGTTATCAGCATTATTTTTACTATTATTATTAACGCATCTGCAATTGGGAATTTTGCTGAAACATGTCTTTTGATGTTAGCCAAGCCGTTTTCTGTCAAGCCAAAAGGAGGCTCTTCTGCTAAGCCAAAAAGACCCNTGTATAACTTTTCAGGTTTAATCCTTGTGGCCTAATGGGTGGTCATGGAAACTTTCTGGAAAAGTGCATTCCCAGATTAACTAAAGACCTTGATACAAACGTATTTCTTAACCCTTTAAGTCCCAATATCCACATACAAATTCTCCAAACTGATCTCCATACATTTCCTTGAAGAATTAGTTGAGAGAATTTGGTAAAAGATCAAATATTTTTCTCTTTGTGATCATTTTGTTAATTCTCATAGACTTTGCTCGTGATAGTCTATGGATATCGTTAGGAGAAAATTGATTTTGAGCACTATTGACCATCATTATTGAGTTCAAACCAAAGCAGTGTTCACCTTCCAAATTACCCGTATATTCAGTAATAAAATGGACTTCGGAACTAAATGATAAGCTTCTCCTTTTTCGATTGTTATTATCATTATTATCTTCATCATCGTTATCAGCATTATTTTTACTATTATTATTAACGCATCTGCAATTGGGAATTTTGCTGAAACATGTCTTTTGATGTTAGCCAAGCCGTTTTCTGTCAAGCCAAAAGGAGGCTCTTCTGCTAAGCCAAAAAGACCCAAACATCCCTTTTTAAGTGCGGGACTCTGCTGCAGCTCCAGTGTTCAAGATGCTAAATTGTAGCATTTAAGGTTCGGGAATGCGCAAAAGTTACCGATCCAATATTTCTTCCGAATAAGTGAACCGTTTTGATCTCTGGTCAAACACTTTTGTTTTTCCCCAACAAAAAAAAAAATTACCTTAGGACTCAAACGTTACGACATCGGGCAAAAAATCCCTGACAGTCAAAAATTTTGCCTCATTATTTATAAGCGAATAAGGTCAAGCAACAATTTGATTTCCTGAGTGAAGGTTTGGCATCCGCGACGAAGCGGCTGTGACTAAATTTTCGTGTAAAACTGACGACCTTTCTCTGTGCTAAATTTCACCGTTATAACATCGTAGTCTTATTCGTCATACCGGCTCAGTTTTAGCTCTTTACGTGTAAAATTATCAGCAGCATTTTCCAACGATAGTCCCACGGCCACTTTCAAAATGGAACTGAGTTCTTGTCAGGGACACTCAACGAATTTTTTTCCCTTTAAAATAACGGTTCGAAAGAGTAAAAAATGCCGAGAATGGCTAAAATTTTCTGGATAAAAGTAACTTTCCTCAAAGATGTTCGGTTTCATACGATTTTATTTATTTGGGAGGTTGTGTTTTTCACATGTCAAGATTACCAAGATATTACGCGCGATTATAGTTCGCAAAGATCTCCTGAAAATTTCGGTAAAAGGTCAAAACGTGCCCTAGAATCTTCTATTTAAGGTGCGACTACCCCACGTCCTTAACTTTCGACCGGACCCATCAGGGTAGCTAACAGTTTCGGATGAGACGATGAGAAGACCAAAGTCCCCCTAAGACATACAAACAGATGAATAGTATTTAGGGCACCTTTAAATTTACCAAACTGGCTGCTAAAACATTCGGTAGATGGATGCCGTTATCAGCTGAAGATACACTAGTCGCTCTGAATGTGATGCTGACTTCACACACACACAGGAAAATAACGTTAAATGATAACCCAAAGAATCGGGAACTAAGAGAAACAAAGGGGAAAGAAAGGTCGAGATGGGTTAGGTTAGTAAATTCATATTACACGCCGTTCATTTTATTTTAAAGCCCTTTCTTTATTGAAATCACCCTCAAAATATTACTCTCTTCATGGAAAGCGGGAAAAAAAGCTTTGGCTCTGGTGTTATTAAGCCTGTGGGGAAGGTACTTCTTCCACGTACAATCGGGATACTGAGTTCCAGCCTGTGTAAGCATCAGCAGATCCGTAACCGGCACAATTACCGACCCAGAATCCCACGCGAACAGTACCCTTGTGGATTTTCTCACAGACTCCTTCTATGTGACGTACGCGGTGTAAATCCTTTCTCGCACTATTTCCATATATCATGTATACCACTCCGTCAATGGGAGCCGGTGTTGAACACTCTGCGCCGTTGAAAGTGAAATACCATCGTCTGCAGCATGCATGACAGTTGTAGAGACGAAGAGTGCCACTCCAAAAGACGCGCAACCCAGTAGTGGCTGATGCTTTCTTGAAAATGCACTCCTTAAAAATCAACAGAGGAGGAAAGATCAAAACGAGGTGAACCAAAATGAAACATCAGAGATAAACAATGACATGATCGTCTAGAAAAACGGACCTGAAAACCGTGGATTTCACTCACTGTAACGCAAAGAAATCAACATACTCGTATTTTCACAATGAAAAGAGGAAGGGAATTGTTTTAACTCCTCTGACTTTTCAGTTGGCTTTAGCTATGCTACTTGACTTTAACATCTTTATACCCTCAACTGTGGATAGCGTGCCTGCGATGCTACCGACGTCATAGGGGCAAACCGTGGGAACAAGTTATAGTTACCATGGCGGGTTTACTCAAATTCAGACCAGAAGATATAGGTGTATCCTATAAACGTAATAGGTAATGTCATTCGAATTTTTTCTTGCATTCCGTGTCATCCCATGAGTAAATAGTTAAATATCAGATACACCCATTTTTTTTTCTTCAAATGGCGTAATAACCAGTAAGATTTACACTTCGCTCGAATCTCAAAGCTAGACCTTTATGTATCAGTAATTTTTAATTTACGCCGGATTTTTTTATTTAATCTAGAACAACAAACTCATGCAGTTGTTACCTTGATCAATCCAGAGTCCTTGTTTTCGCCCAGATTCTTAAAAACGCACTGTTTCCAATTACGACCAAAGGATCCTGGAGCACCCTTGGGACCTGTGGGACCTTGACTTCCACGAGCACCTGTATCACCCTTGTTTCCAGGGGAACCAGCTGAACCTGAGGGTCCTTGAGGTCCCTTGGGACCAGGGGGACCTTGCTTTCCACGAACACCTGTATCACCCTTGTTTCNACGTCATAGGGGCAAACCGTGGGAACAAGTTATAGTTACCATGGCGGGTTTACTCAAATTCAGACCAGAAGATATAGGTGTATCCTATAAACGTAATAGGTAATGTCATTCGAATTTTTTCTTGCATTCCGTGTCATCCCATGAGTAAATAGTTAAATATCAGATACACCCATTTTTTTTTCTTCAAATGGCGTAATAACCAGTAAGATTTACACTTCGCTCGAATCTCAAAGCTAGACCTTTATGTATCAGTAATTTTTAATTTACGCCGGATTTTTTTATTTAATCTAGAACAACAAACTCATGCAGTTGTTACCTTGATCAATCCAGAGTCCTTGTTTTCGCCCAGATTCTTAAAAACGCACTGTTTCCAATTACGACCAAAGGATCCTGGAGCACCCTTGGGACCTGTGGGACCTTGACTTCCACGAGCACCTGTATCACCCTTGTTTCCAGGGGAACCAGCTGAACCTGAGGGTCCTTGAGGTCCCTTGGGACCAGGGGGACCTTGCTTTCCACGAACACCTGTATCACCCTTGTTTCCAGGAGAACCAGCTGAGCCTGCTTCACCTTTGTCCCCACGTGGACCTGCCGGGCCTGCAGGTCCTTTAACTCCTTTGCTGCCTGTTGCTCCCGGTCTTCCACGGTCTCCTTCATCACCTTTCTTTCCTCGTGGGCCCATGGGTCCTTCAGGTCCATGATTGCCAGGTGATCCCGCGGTACCTGCTGGTCCCGCGGGTCCGGGGCTTCCTGGGATGCCTGGAATTCCTGGTGCACAGAAACACCCACCATGACCACAGGAGCCATAAGGTGAAGTCGGTTGAGGAATACTCTAAATGAAAAATTTAAAAATTCATTCCGTTTTAATTCATGATCAGTCGATTAAGTCAATCAATCAACGTCACTCAAGCACCCTTACATAAAAAAATCACTTCATTCATTCTACCTCACTCAATTCTTTCAGGTTAATAGTTCAGGTACCATTGACTGACTTTCAATTCTCATAGTACATATTATTACAATGTTTGATTAAACAAACTCACCTTGTCACTTGGTTTGCTGCTGTTGTTGTCATTTGCAGAACACAAGGTAATCAGCAGTAAGAGCAGCCAGCATAACACAGTAGCCAGCGGTATCTTCATAAAAGTTTGCATGATGAGGAAACCTGTGAAAACAGGAGTTCGCTTAAAATTATGGCCTAATATTCTTTAAAAAGGCATCACTTTCAATGATTTGCTAACATTTTTTTTTTTCAAAATGCGGATAACAAGCAAAGCGAATTGATGATCTGTGGCGAAGGTACTGTGATTTGGAGAGAAAGAAAAAGTCAGTTTCATTCTTCAATTTCAGGTCAGCTTTTAGCATTACTTGAGAACATTACCATGTCTTTGCAATTACATGTCGGACTGCCACGGACACTTAAAACTCTTCGACATTTCGTTGAAACGTTCGCTTAAGATTTTAGCGCTTATGATAGAACGTTAGCGACTGCTAAGCAATATCTAAACACACACACACACACACACACACACACACACACACACACACACACACACACACACACACACAACAAAACAGGGATAGTGGCAATAAGCCTTGCATTTAATATTTCGTGAAAAGAAACAGTTCAAATTGAAACCAGACTGAAGAGACCTCCAAGCAATTGTTTAATTAAACTGATTATATTAGTTTGATACGAAAGATTGTTGGAAACATTGACTCAAGTCCTACCTTGCTTGTATGAACGCCGACTGTAGTGATCCCAAGACGAATGATACTTTTTTTGACATTAGCAAGGATTTTATGTCCTATTTTGACCAAGTTTACACAAAAACGTGTTTTAGACAAGTTTGATAGATTGTTGAATTTAAGTTACTAGAAGTATTCCTATTGGTTACATGTAAATCAGTCAGTCTTAATTGACCCGCAACTGAAAGGAGCCATGCTCTCCTTTTGTTTTATTTAAGTTGCAAGTTAAAACGAGTTGGAAGGCTCCATGACGTTAAGCAATTATTTTGTAAACTGGCCAATGATAAGAACTGTTTTAAACTTCCTTTGAGATACAAGTTGAACCAAGTTTGAAGGGCACTGACGTGTTAATTAACGATCTATGAAGACAATCGGTTTTATTGATATCTGCACATGTAATTTTTTGAAAATTTTGTATGCGACAAATTTGTCCTTCAAAATATTTGAAGGCTTTGAAGGCTATTCAGTAAAAAACCGCGACTAACGAAGCTGCATTTTCCCAGTTTAGCCTAAACAGGTTCTTACATAAATGATAATTAGCACAAAGTTTAGGCTATTTAGGTTCTTGATTGATTTTCTGAATGAAAAAATACATTGTAGCTAATTGTTATATTCGGCTTCTTCCTTACATAAAATCACTGCATACCAATACATTCCAGTTGGATTGATGAAGCACCTATGTCTCGGCCAAACGGGGATATGAATGTTGACTTTTTTAATTTGCCCATATGTACAAAATTTTTTTTAAACATGTTAAAATTAGAACCTGTTTCAAATTTTAGGCTAAACAGGTTCTTGTGTAGAGGGGCCTTACTGACACAAACAGTGAAATTCTCGAAAGATATCCTCGTTTTTTTTGTTTTTGTTTTTCTTAATCTTATCTCTGACGCTTTTGATTCCTTGAAGTAGCTCGCTCAGTTCTGGAAAATACCCTTGACTGGATTTTTGGTACAAATCCAAAACTACTGCAACGCGCTTTTTTGTTGGACTGACCATTGTATATTAACTGATTGACACACGGTAGCTAGCTTTAAAACATTTGAAAATTCCGAAAAATTCTCTGTAAAGTGTGCAAGCACTGTTTGAGTGAAAGAATTTTAGCTGATTTCACTCTCGGGAGTGCCGCTAATACAACGAGAGGCTATAACGCAGCCCTTTGAGTCCAATACCTTTCAGAGACTGGCTCTCGGGACACGAGGAAATGTCGCCAGCCGGAAATATTTCCGGTTCCATGTTATTGCTCTTTACTTCTTCCCTGAAGAAGTCCTTGATCGACTTTCTATTTTTATGGAGTATTAGCTCTAACGGAAATCTAAAGGCTGATCCAGTGCGTAAAAATGATGTTCTCCACCCTTCAAAGCTAAGGAGCAGAGCATGTCGCGCAAACTACGTAAACCCCCGATGGTACATTGTATATCATAACCTGTGCTTTTCCCCCGAGCACTCTATTTAAATTGACTGCATCAAAATAAAAACAGATGAGTTATAGTTAATTTTTCAATAACTGTTTGTATCCCGGATTCCCATATGAAAATGAAGGTGATACTCGTCGTCACATTTATAGGAGTAGAAATTTCAGATTTTGGTCTAACTTAGGGTGTTCAGAAAGGAAAGCGATTATTTTTAACCCATAAAAAATTGCTTAGCGTCGAGCATAATGATTTAGCTAAACAAAAGTAGCCAATGCCGTCATTGTGTTGGAGTATTAGGGTCAAATCCTGACTCGTCCGCAGACGTCTCTCAGTCTTCTATTAATATTAACGAGAGAAGCGCGGTGAAGGGAAGTGCGGGGGATGATGGGAAGGAGGAAAGACTTCCTTTTCTTCTCCACCTTCCCATCGTCCCCTTCGCACCAGTGCCGTAATAGTCTCCCGCGACCTCTCCTTGACCGAGTCAGTGGTCAAATAAAGCTGGACCCACACCCAGATTTGTCTCTTCACTGAGGGGCTTAATTCCAATTATCCAACGGGCACGGTATTTTTGATGCGAAAATTCCCTACCCGGGAATTTACCGTTCTGGATCTACTGAGATATTCAGCTCTACCTTTCAAATTAAACAAAACAGCTTTCTGAGTCTTAAGCGATTGGTACTTTTACTGTGTAAAGCTTGCTCTTAATCTCGCAGTATCATCCTGGATCAGTCCAATTAAAACAATAGGTAGAGGCTGGACTGCTTTTACAGTGATTAAACTAAAAGTCAAACTAAAACGCCAACTATTTGAAACAGTCACTGCAACTAAGGTGCTGTTTATTTATGTCAATTTTTGTAGATAATAATTGGTGGAAAGGTGTCCCCTGATTGCTCTTTATCTAAATAAAAATAATGTTCCCTTCAGCCGCCCACATGATTAGTCCTTTTAGGACCCACCCTGCCCCCCTGATGCATGCCGTCAGACTTATAAAGAAAAAATACAATGATATTTTTCTCTTTAGACATCCTACAATAACGTTTTCAATCGAAAACCAATGCATGCGTGCGCAAGAACACCAAATGCTTCGGTCAAAAGACGTTCTTGATAGAATTGCACTTTCGGCGTTATGTAATCTTGAAAGGTTCAGGCCCCAGTTGTTACAAAAGAGGGATAACGTTATCTACTGGATAAGTCTCTATCTAGTGGATGACATAGCTGGTTTTCCTAATACTTATTAGGATTTGTGACTAAAAAAATCTGACGTTTAAAATGTAAGGCAGTGGAGGAAATCCTTTCTCTTGGTCTGGCATCATTTCACAATGAAATCAAATGTTTTTTTGTGAGATTTGGATTTCCACACTATGAGGAGTGAAGGGCGACTGGCATTACTTTTATAAACTAGGTACTTTTAATACATGTACTGCATTACGTGCTAATGTATCTATCCAGAATAACTGCAAACTTATCGTAGGTTTCTAATGACCTACAGAGGAAATAACAGCGATAGAACGAGAGCTGTAATCAAGGTAATAACACACCCTCGCTGTATTTCCCCCTCACCCTTAGGGTCACCCTTATTCCCAGGGGACGAGGTTGCGTTAGAAAAGGGTGGAGTGGACGAGGTTGCGTTAGAAAAGGGTGGATTGGACGAGGATTCGTCAGGGAATAGTTGGGAGCAGTTAACCTCCTCTTCATACTCATTCCACCCGGGTGTGGCGATGTTAATAAGTACACCGTTAGGATCGTCCACCGCACAGCGCCTGTTGCCTCCCACCCAGCCTAGTGGGCGTGTCCAGGTTAGATTGCGATCTTGCAGGAACTGGCACCACCTAGAAAGGAACAGAGATCGATAAAAGAAGGTTTTTGTTTTGATTGATTATGATTACCTGATATTGATGTACAACGAATCTCTCCTGCTAAGCCAACGACCACCCAAAATACGGTCAGATTACTACCAGTAATTGGGTGTTTAAGATCGAAAATGTTGTAAAACCCAACCCAAAGTGATTAGCTTAGCTAAATACAGTTAGCGACGAAGCACCAAAGAACCAATCAGACGCAAGTGCAATGCGTGATAAAACAGGGCAGGTAGTAAATGTTCCGCTCTATTAATAGGCTGCAGATTAGGCGTTTTTTTTTTTTTTTTAACGAAAGCGCGACCTAAAGGTACATTGATCGTGGCTGCCATCATAAAGGAACTGGAAAACTAAGGTAGGAAGGGCGGGCAGGGACGAGGGCACTGCATAATACGCCTGCTTTGCAGGCTACTCTATTAATAAATGAGAAAAATTTAATATTCCTCATATGTTGGTGTGAATGGAATCCAAAGAAAAATCCCAGACCGAAATCCGTGAGTAAAATCCCTTAATGAGAGTGAGAACCCCTGGTAAAGAGAGTGAAAACTTCCGAAGTACACGACATATGATCTAATCCGAGAGAAATCTAAAAAGCCTCGCACAACTTGTCTTACACTCAGTTAAAAAGCATTTTTCTAGATGTCCATTATCGAGATGAGTGTCAATCAAAACTATACTACTGGAAATCCTATACAAAACACGTGCTTGACTGACTAGTCTAATCCAAGAGCTCGCGTGCATTGAGATCTTAATTCTAACATCATATATTGCAAGAGCGTAAAACAAAGTCTATTGTCTTTATAGACAAGCGCACCTGTCGACCTCAAGTGAAGTATCAAAGTTGAAGGTGTAAGACAGGCCGTGTCCGTCAAACTCTTCCAGCAAATGAGGAATGAAGGAGGTCATGTTTCGTGGATGGAATGGCCGAAACTCCACAGTGCGATTTGCAGCGATCAGCGTTATCTCATATTCAACAAGGTCCAGTAATATTTCGTGGATATGTCTACCGCCTTTTCAATTTTGTGAACAAGATACCATTTCGTACGAGATTAGTCTGCTACACAGCCGTTTTTAGTGTCGTCACGTAACGCAGACTATTTGTGGGGAGGAGCGTTGCGTGACGACACTAAAAACGGC